GCCATCTGCATGTCTTCTTTGGAGAAATGTGAATTTAGGTCTTCTGTCCTTTTTTCTTTTCTTTTTTTTTTTTTTGCGGTATGCAGGCCTCTCACTGTTGTGGACTCTCCCATTGCGGAGCACAGGCTCCGGACGCGCAGGCCCAGCGGCCATGGCTCACAGGCCCAGCCGCTCCGCGGCATGTGGGATCTTCCCTGACAGGGGCACGAACCTGCATCCGCTGCATCAGCAGGCGGACTCTCAACCACTGTGCCACCAGGGAAGCCCTTCTGCCCATTTTTGATTGGGTTCTTTTTTGTTATTGAGTTGTATGAGCTGTTTGTATATTTTGGAAATTAAGCCCTTGTTGGTAGCATTGTTTGCAAATATTTTCTACCATTCCATAGGTTGTTGTTTCATTTTGTTTATGGTTTCCTTTTCTGTGCAAAAGCTTATAAGTTTGATTAGGTCCCATTTGTTTATTTTTGCTTGTATTTCTATTGCTTTGGGAGACTGACATAAGAAAATGTTGCTACAATTTACATCAGAGAATGTTTTGCCTATGTTCTCTTCTAGGAGTTTTATGGTGTCATGTCTTATTAAATATATTTAAGTCTTTAAGCCATTTTAAGTTTATTTTTGTGTAGGGTGTGAAGGAGTGTTCTAACGTCATTGATTTACTTGTGACTGTAACAGGCATTTCTTGAGGTGTTCTTTGTGTCCTTTTTCTTACCTGTTTTAGTTTTTGTGCTATCATTCCTGCAGCCACAAGTCTCTTGTGGCTGATGTACAAATTTAGGTCTAGGTCCTATCCTCTCTTTTGCACAGATGTCCTGTAATTCCATACGCTTAATAAGCATTTTTACCTGGTTTTCCCACCAAGCAATCCAACAACTGAACTTCAACTGAACAAATCTGAACTTCCAGTTAGCATCTGTCTCTGTCATTGATATCATCCAAAAGACTTCTTTGACATCACAGCTTCCTTTCATTCCATATACAATTACATGGTAGGCCTTGTTGATTATTCTGTCACAACAGTATTTGTGGCAATCATTTTCTTTTCAGTTCCATTGACCTATGTCAAGTCCTTGTAATTTCTCCCCTGGATTTCTGAAAAAGTAGAATCCACCTAAGTGGATTTCCTGCTTGTAGTCTCTCCCCTCCCCAAAATAACCTGGATCAGTGTTCCTTAAAATTTTAACTTCGAGAAGTAGTATTTCCAGATAAAAGATGAATATTTTTAATTATAAATATGTCACATGCAATATTTAGAACACACTGATACTAAAAATTTATTTGTTGTTTATCTGAAATTCAAATTGACTGGCCAGCTTATATTTTTATTAGCTAAATCTGGCAACTCTATCTGGAGAGACTAAGTAAAACTGATGTATCTGCAGACCACCATTTTAAGTAATTAAAAAAACTGGCTTACCATGAACTTACCAAAAAACTTGTGATAGTTAAAAATTTAATAGTAGTAATGGTAACTGTTTAATATTGGCAAGCTGAATACACGTGCAATAGGGCAGGTTTCACAATTGACTTCTTAATTTTTATTTCTACTAAAATTAGAAAATCTAAATGCACAATGAGCTTGTCAGATATTGCAATGAGTGTTAGGTGGCTACTAGATAATTCCGAACAGTTGAATCTAGCGTGGATCTAGCATCATGAGGAGCTTCTAATTGAAGACAGCTTTTAGTAGTGTTAGATCCTAAGTAGAAGAGCATATGGCAACCTAAAAAATTGAAGTTTCAAGTTGAGAAAGAGTAGGAGTTGTATTCAATTGCATGGATTGCATTCAGCTCTGAAAAGCATTTTTTCCATACAGTTGCAACATTTGGATGTGGTTGAAAATATGTTGAATAATGTGTCATCCATTTTTTTCTCTTAATAAGAAAGAAAATTATCATGTATTGGGAAATAATAAACTCCTGGAAGTAAAGGCATTTGCATAAAAGTCTGGTTTTCTTACAAAACCCTGATACTTTGTTTTTTTTAAAAAAAATTAATTTATTTATTTTTGGCTGCGTCGGGTCTTTGTTGCTGCGCACAGGCTTTCTCCAGTTGCAGAGAGGGTGTGGTACTCTTCCTTGCGGTGCATGGGCTTCTCATTGCGGTGGCTTCTCTTGTTGCGGAGCACAGGCTCTAGGCGCATGGGCTTCAGTAGTTGTGGCTTGCGGGCTCTAGAATGCAGGCTCAGTAGTTGTGGCACACAGGCTTAGTTGCTCCACGGTATGTGGGATCTTCCCGCAATAGAGCTTGAACCCGTGTCCCCTGCATTGGCAGGCGGATTCTTAACCACTGCACCACCAGGAAAGTCCCGAAAAATCCTGATACTTTGTTCCTAACATTAAAAATCATGGCATTTAGAATTTGAAGTAATAATTCAGGTTAATAAAAAAAATGAAAATGTTGCTCAGATAAGCCATTTGAACAAGTCTACTTGGAAAAATTAAAATAGTTTTTGTTAGCATTATTTGTATAGTAAAGAAGGGATTTTTACTCTAGCCCTTATTTAGAAACTTGTGAGAGCACCTTCCCCATTACTGGCCTCCATACTTTATTGTGGAAAAAGCAGTGTTCTAACATTTGCCTGTTTCTTCTCAATGATTATGCTTACTGGCTGCTATTACTATATACATAGTAATATGTTTACAGTTTACACTACTTTGTTATATGTTGAATCAGAATCAGGAGAAATATTGTTTGACTACCAATGTTCTCTGAATAAAACACGAAGTGGACTGACATTTTGCTTATTGTAGGAATAATATCCTTTGTACACCCAAAGCTACAACCCCATCAGTTTTTTTTGCGGGGGTACGCGGGCCTCTCACCGCTGCGGCCTCTCCCGTTGCGGAGCACAGGCTCCGGATGCGCAGGCTCAGCGGCCATGGCTCACGGGCCCAGCCGCTCCGCGGCATGTGGGATCCTCCAGGACCGGGGCACGAACCCGTGTCCCCTGCATCGGCAGGCGGACTCTCAACCACTGCTCCACCAGGGAAGCCCACAAAATAATTTTTTAAGTGAAAATTTTTCTAAATGAAAATGTCTTCTTCTATAAGCTGAATTTTTAATGATAAACCAAACAGGAAATTTCTGGGCATCTTTCCTTGTGTACCACATATACACTGTGAAATGATTCATATTGTGTATATCAGTGCATCCACTCATAAGATAAACGTCTGTTTAGCAAGTACAGGGTGATACTGCCCTTTCATGTTGTATACCATGATTTTGTATGATATTGATATTTGATTAGGGATTTTTGCCTAGAGCTTGTTATACTTTCTCCAAGCAAAATATTTATTATTAACTGTGTAGCTAGTTGCACAAGTTATCTCTGAAACAAAGTGACCTTTACCATTTTTTTAAAAAATGAGGGAAGTAACTTGATCTTTTTTTATCCACAAGTTCATCTATTTCATTCTGGAAAACATTGCTTTTATTCCAGAAAAATACATTTCTTGGCAATGAAGTTATTGTATTTGGGTCAAAACTGACTTGAAGGCTTTGATGGCTTTCCAAGTCATTGACAAAATTTCCTAAACAGTCGAGGTGTATTGGGCAAGGGACAAATGGATGCTAGCCCAATAAAATCCAATTTTTAGATCTTCATAGCTGTACTTCCTATTTACTGTTTATTTTTTGTTGCTTGGATCAACTTACCACATTTAAAGCCACATAATGATTCACATTCTATATCTGCACTGCAGTCTTGTTTAATAGCTAGCTACCTTTAACATGTAATTTGAATTGAAGTACTTGTTACCTTTTTTCACCACTACTTCTAATGCTTCAATGTACTTCATTTGAGTGAATGATTTTTCTCTTTTTGGTGAATTGGAAATATAATACAACAAAATGGTAACAAAGAAAAATTTAATTTTAACAAATGTAAACAATAATATATGAATTATGTTAAAATACCTTGGTTGAGATAAACTATACTGATAACTAAATGAGGGAAATGGATCTGTGTAATCTTTGTAGTACATATACAACCTACAAGAATTCAAAGATGCTCAATAGCATAATGGGATTTCTGTTAAAATTGGAATAAATTTGTTAGACAATTTGTGAAAGATGTGTGAAGAGGTAGTACACTGTAGTGCTAAAACAGGGGGATGGGTGGAATATAGTCCCAGAGTCAGCCTTCTTCAGTTTGCCTCCCGCAACACTACTTACCAGCTGGGTGTCCCTTGCTTAACCTCTTTGCTTCTGTTTCCTTATCTGCAAAATGTAAATAATAGAATCTACCTCACAGTGTTGTTATGAGGATTAAATAAGTACTTATAAAGCAGTATGGACAGTGTCCGGCTCGAAGTGCTCAATGCTTCCTATTATTAGAAAATAAATCTGTGCAATCATCTTACCACTTCTCTACTAAAAACTTGTCACTATGTCCCTATCGTTGATCAAAGGAAGTTATCCCACTCTTAATCAAAATACATTGCCTCCTGTTTTGGCTGTCGGTATCTCTCCTACCAGACATAAGCGCCCAGATCCTCTTACACTACCAGTTCTATAGCAGGCATTCAAAACTTGCTGAACTTTTTCCCACTAGGGACAAAGGTCCTTAAAAGAGGAAAAAACTAGAAAGGATTACAAATCACGAAGTGAAGTTTAAGCAGTAGGGCACCTAAAGAAGATTTACAAAACAAATCATCTGCAGAGTGGCCAACCAGGCGAATCCACCACCCAGCGAAGCTTTTTAGTAAAATTATTTTTCACTGACGTCACTCGATCGCTGACCTCTAAGGTAGAAGAGGCGGAATTAGAGAGACAGCTGGACTTCTTCCTCGCCCTCCCTCCTCCACTGGACTGGCTGGCAGCTCCGTGGCCAGCCCTGCTTCTGGTCGTTTTGCGATTCCATTGGTCAGTTTTCCCGAGGAGGCTGGCCTTGGGGATGACCCCGCCCCCTCTAGGGGCGGGTCTCTCCGTCGTAGGGGCTGGGATGGTGGGGCGGGGGGCGGTTGCTGCAGCCGCCATCTTGGATTCCGCGGTAGCATTGGCGGCAGTACGGCGCCGCGCCTGGGGAGTGGCTCTCCCCTCCCCCTCCCCCCGGTTCCTTGGCGGTGGCTCCTCCCACTGGGGGGGTGCGGCGGCGGTGGCATCTACAGCTATGGCGGCGACTACTGCTAATCCCGGTGAGGAGACGGAGGACTGGGGTGCCTGTCAAGGAGGAGGGGCTGAAAGGGTTGGCAACTGGGTAGACCCAGCGCTGAGGGGCCGTAGTTGGGGCTGAGGGCGCTGAGACGCGTGGGGGTGGCTACGGGGCGGTGGGGGAGGGGAGTGACCTGGGGGAGGGGAGTGACCTGGGGGAGGGGCCCGCCCCTGGGGAACAGGGGAGACCCGAGGTGGAGGGAGGGAGCAGGCGGGTGGGAGTTGGGGATTCCTTGCCCCGAGTTCTGTTTGAGCAGCTGTCCGTGCGGGGCTGGCCCGCCTCCACTCTTGTGGCGGCTTTCTGGTGTGCGATGTAGTCCTCTTTCAGCCTTCTGCCCACTGTGGACCTGCTTGATGCCGAATAACTGTGGGCAGTGTGGCTCGTTTTACTTTAAAGGTAGTTGGGACTCATAGGATCATGTTGCTGTTTAGCTGAGGTGTTACTTCCAAACGTTTAGATTTTAAATTTTAAAAATCTTTGAATTCATACTCAGTTTCTTAAAAAAAAAGAAGCTGTACCTCCTCCCTCCCTATCCGAGGGCTATCCTTTGAAACTTGCGTTTATGTATTAAGAGGTGCCTCTAGTGTCATTAGCTGCTGAAGGCAGAGGTTTGTGTAATGTTTGAGTTACAGGATAGATCTTGCCAACAGCAAGCATCCAGGACCCAGATTTAAATCTTGTTAGGTGGGTCAAGGCAGTTCCCATTCTTTAAGAAAAGTTCAGTTCATGCTATTTCTCAATGAACATCTCTTCTAAAGTGGGAGCTTGAACGTTAAAAATCTAGTCAGTCATGTCTAAAAGATGGAATGGGGTGTAGTGCAGCAGCAGGTCTAGACAGATCAGGTCTTCAAATTCCTAGTCCCAGTCCTCTTTCCAGTACAGTACAGTTATTTCTCCCTAGGAAGTATTTCATTTAAGGGATCCTAGTTTACTTTGCTGACCTTGGCTATTCCCCAGAAATCCTTATCTTTGATAGCCTTAGAAAAGAAGTGAGAGGTGGGGGTGAATAACTTGAAAATATGGTAGTGGGAAGGATTCACTGCTGTTCCCTTGTTAAAACTTAAACTGGATTTTTTTTCGTGTCTCTGAAAGGCAGTAGTATTTTACAGTACTCAGCTTTTGCTATTACAATTGAATCACTGAAATTTACTGTCTTTCCTACCATGTTTCTGGGAACAGACCTATTTAAAGAAGTTAATTTGTCACATGTCAATATCATATTTTTAAATCTTTTAAATATTTTAAGAGGAAAAGGAGATAAAGTTAATGGCTAAAATTGCATTGCAGGAAGTGCTGAGTGATGGAATAAAATCAGAAAGATGCTATTATTATGGCAGACCTGACCTTGAAGTAAAATAACCTGTTAACTAGGGAGTAAATAAACAAGATTTTAAACTGATAACACATTGCAAAATACTTATATAACCCTAGTCAAGTTGCAAAGCATTTCTCTTATTAAGAGGTGGCCTGGGTAAAGAAGTTTAGTGCATATGTCAGAAGCTTTTTTCCCAGCAGTGTGGGTTGGGTTGCTTTATTTTGTTTTGTTTTTTAAACAACAGTAACCAGAATGACAATCTCTTGACCACATTTTCATTAGCTGATCAATATCAACTTAAAACTGTAAGCAGAAAATAACATTCATTTGTGCAGAATCCTTGCTTATGATGAAACAGTTACTTTGTTTATTGCCCTTTGGCAGCCTGCTTCTGCAGTTTTTAGGGTTCTTTTTTTGCGGACCTCTCACTGTTGTGGCCTTTCCTGTTGCGGAGCACAGGCTCAGCGGCCATGGCTCACGGGCCTAGCCGCTCCGCTCGGCATGTGGGATCTTCCTGGACCAGGGCACGAACCCGTGTCCCCTGCATTGGCAGGCGGACTCTCAACCACTGCGCCACAAGGGAAGCCCTAGGGTTCTTTTTCGATGTTGGATAATTCTCCCATCTCTTACAAGTTATTGATCCCAAGTTCAACACATGATAATTAAATTAGAAAGTGCATTTTCTTCCTTCAATTCTTGTTTTGCCCCTTTGTATCAAAAGGAAGAGATCATAGCTGCATTGTGGAGTTTTGATAGCCTGTTCCATTTTGGGAAATGAGGACCATAAATGTAGGGACACAGGGTGGGAATGAACTGTGCTCAGTGAAAAGAAAGTAAATGGTTTTCAGGTCAGAATTCTTTGTTGCATGGTCAAACCTTTAATCCTTAGAGTCATTTTAAGGACTAGGGACATCAGACTGATTTCTTTGAGTTTTTTCTACTTTGTCATTTTGCTAGTTAAGTTTCCCTATGGTTCTTGTTTGTTCTGTCCTCACATATGTCTGCAAAGAATTTTGGTAATAATTATTTAACTCTTCTAAGCTTCATTTAAGTTAATCCTTAGTGTTAATAACAATACTTGATGATCATTTTAGTTGTATTTAGAGTTTGATTTAGAGACTGTTGGTGTCCTTTCAGGGTCTTGCAGGGGACCTGGTTCCTTTGCATTTTTCTCTATGTCTTAACATGGTGCTGGATCAAAAGAAGAGTAAGGTATAGTTTATACTCCACAATCTAAGAGTTACGTTGAAGTAATAGTTCTAATCTGGTGGTGGCTTTTTTCTGCGTAATTGATAATTCTTCATATTCTATTATTTTTCACTAATTCTACTTAGCAGTGGCAAGATAAGTGAGTGGGTGGGTGGTCCATGAAGTCTTAGGCTATATCTTTCTTGTCTACATAATACTAAACATTTTGAGAAACATTTAAAAAATTGCACGTGTGATTTGTAATGTATCGGCTAAGGCACTGTTTGGGAATAGATTAGTTATTTGATTTATAATTCAGTATTCAAACCAGAGATGTGAATGAATTTTTAGGAGTGCAGTTTTCTTCTTCCTTGATTCTGGTGTTCTCTTTCCCAGGGACCTCTTTTTGTGGTATTAGGTACCATTTATTGTGGGTAGAGAACGGGTAGAAGGCAAAGGAAGGAACACACTTGTTTGGGTTTGTAAGGCTGACACTTAGGAAAACTTTTTTTTTCCACATAATTTTTACCTTCATAAATTATAGTTTTTAAAGCATCAATTAGCAGACTTCTTACCCATTACCTTTACTTAACCTTTTTCAGATACAGGAAAATAGGAATTTATGCAGTATAAAATTACAATGCCAAGATACTTTAAAAATTATATTCTATTGCAAAAACCTATTTCAAAAGTGTTTAAATATAGTTTACTAATTCAGCAATTGAAATACAATTAACATTTTTGAAAAAGAACCTTAATCCATATACTTTTTATGCTGTTCGAATTGTGGCACCAAACTGAATCTTTTCTGTTTTTTTAGAAATTAAGAAGTAGATACTTCTGCATTCTTGGAACTCTACTTTTCTTGTTGTTTTGAAATAGTGGTCTCTCACTTTACTTTTTTGCATTCCAGCCCTACTCCTCTACTCAAACAATCCACTAACAGATGAGAATATGTTGTTTCATGGAGGTTTTGTGAAAGTCTTTTGTGGTTGTCTGCTATGGATGACTTTCTTCTAAGGCAGTAACAGTAGGGATTTCCACAGTACCAAGTGGTGGTTGATCTTCAAAAAACTAAATTGCAACACTCAAGGAAACTAAACACTTTTTCCTGATTTTACTTAGGTTATGACATTTGGGGCATATTTAATTTCAAAACTAGTAAAATTTGAATCCTTAATTGTAGAAACTATCTTTGGAACCATCTTTTTTTTTTCCCCTTCAGGCTATTTACAATATTTATTTTAAATGTTAATTCCCTGGCGGTATAGTCCTTTATAGAGGTGCAAGGGTGACATTTCTGTCAGTGTTATCCAGTGTCTCTGTGGTTGTATAGCTGATCTTATTTAGATGTAACAGTAAAGGAATACATTTAAAGCTCTTGTGATATGCAAGGCCTGAGCTCAGTGGAGTCTATTTGGGCCCATCACCCACACCCAATGATAGGCCCTGCCTGTACAGCCATCTGTTTTTAAGAATGCTGCCTAATATGCCATGATGATTTCAATAAGTAGACATCAACGAATATTGGAGGTGGATTCAAGGTAACTCCTGTCATTTTACATGTAAGAAAACAAACCTAGAGAGAGGAACTGGCACATTTATTAAACATCTATTAAGTTCTTACTATATGCCAGGCTACACTTTCCTGTTTTGTTGGCTATTCTGTATGTTAGAAACCATCTCTTAGTTTCCAAATAAATTCTCTAAATTTGCATCTCTTTTCATCATTTCTTCATTTTGTATTTGTCCCTTCACATTTTCTCTAGTTGAGTAGACAAACTAAGTTTATGACTTCAACAACTTAATTAGAATTTAAGTTCCATGAGAGTAGGACCTTTACCTCCCTTGTTCACCACAGCACCCTACTGCTCCCAGGGGTGCCTAGTACGTAGGACTACAGTTCAGTAAATGTTTGTTGAATAAATGAATGTTGTAAAACCTGGCATTGGAGGTTCATATCTTTATGCACTGTTAATATGAAAATACCTTTGAAAGGATAACACTAATTAAACCATTAACAACATGAATTAATTTATAATAGCTAACAATAATTATATGCCAGATATTGTTATAAATATATTACCTCACTTAATATTCATATATTTATCTCATTTAATATTTTTCTTTAAAAAAAGTTATTTATTTATTTTTTTAATTTTAGCTGTGTCTGGTCTTAGTTGTGGCGCACAGACTCCAGAGCACACGGGCTCAATAGTTGTGGCATGTGGACTCTCTAGTTGTGGTGCAGAGGCTCAGTAGTTGCGGTGCGCGGACTTAGTTGCGCTGCGGCATGTGGGATCTTAGTTACCTGACCAGGGGTCGAACCTGGGTCCCCTGCATTGGAAGGCGGATTCTTAATCGTTGGACCACCAGGGAAGTCTCCTCATTTAATCTTTACAAGACTCCTATGAGGTATATATTAATATTCTTGTTTTCAGATGAGGAAACTAAGGCACAGAGTGAATAATTAGTTTGTC